AAAATATTATCATATCAAAATTGTATCCTTTTCTTTTTGTTGTATTAACATTAATTTGTAAGCAACACCCTCCATTACTGGGCGTACATTGGAGGAGGAAATCCCAACAACAAAATGGAAAACTCAAACATTATGAAAGCATAGATATAAATGAAAACATATTGTGGGCTATTAACCATTATAATAAAAATTAAAGCGTAATTAAATCTGCTAGAGGGCGGTAGGAAGTGGTAAATAAAAAACAAGAGAATTGCACAAAAGATAATTACACAAAAGTCAAAAAACGTTTGAATGGCAAAACAAACATATCAGATTAGTTTTATAACAGTTCAGTCATTTCTAGTTCAGTTCTAGTTCAGTTCTAGTTCAGTTCTAGTTCAGTTCTAGTTCAGGTCTAGTTCAGTTCTAGTTCAGTTCTAGTTCAGTTCTAGTTCAGTTCTAGTTCAGTTCTAGTTCAGTCCTAGTTCAGTTCTAGTTCAGTTCTAGTTCAGTTCAGTTCTAGTTCAGTTCTAGTTCAGTTCTAGTTCAGTTCTAGTTCAGTTCTAGTTCAGTTCTAGTTCAGTTCTAGTTCAGTTCTTGTTCAGTTCTTGTTCAGTTCTTGTTCAGTTCTTGTTCAGTTCTAGTTCAGTTCTAGTTCAGTTCAGTTCTAGTTCAGTTCTAGTTCAGTACTAGTTCAGTTCTAGTTCAGTTCTAGTTCAGTTCTAGTTCAGTTCTAGTTCAGTTCTAGTTCAGTTCTAGTTCAGTTCTAGTTCAGTTCTAGTTCAGTTCTAGTTCAGTTCTAGTTCAGTTACTAGTTCAGTTCTAGTTCAGTTCTAGTTCAGTTCTAGTTCAGTTACTAGTTCAGTTCTAGTTCAGTTCTAGTTCAGTTCTAGTTCAGTTCTAGTTCAGTTCTAGTTCAGTTCTAGTTCAGTTCTAGTTCAGTTCTAGTTCAGTTCTAGTTCAGTTCTAGTTCAGTTCTAGTTCAGTTCTAGTTAGTTCTAGTTCAGTTCTAGTTCAGTTCTAGTTCAGTTCTAGTTCAGTTCTAGTTCAGTTCTAGTTCAGTTCTAGTTCAGTTCTAGTTCAGTTCTAGTTCAGTTCTAGTTTCAGTTCTAGTTCAGTTCTAGTTCAGTTCTAGTTCAGTTCTAGTTCAGTTCTAGTTCAGTTCTAGTTCAGTTCTAGTTTCAGTTCTAGTTCAGTTCTAGTTCAGTTCTAGTTCAGTTCTAGTCCCAGTTTCTAGTTCTAGTTCAGTTCTAGTCAGTTCTAGTTCAGTTCTAGTTCAGTTTCTATAGTTCAGTTCTAGTTCAGTTCTAGTTCAGTTCTAGTTCTAGTTCAGTTCTAGTTCAGTTCTAGTTCAGTTCTAGTTCAGTTTTAGTTCAGTTTTAGTTCAGTTTTAGTTTCAGTTCTAGTTCAGTTCTAGTTCAGTTCTAGTTCAGTTCTAGTTCAGTTCTAGTTCAGTTCTAGTTCAGTTCTAGTTCAGTTCAAGTTCAGTTCTAGTTCAGTTCTGGTTCAGTTCTAGTTCAGTTCTAGTTCAGTTCTAGTTCAGTTCTAGTTCAGTTCTAGTTCAGTTCTAGTTCAGTTCTAGTTCAGTTCTAGTTCAGTTCTAGTTCAGTTCTAGTTCAGTTCTAGTTCAGTTCTAGTTCAGTTCTAGTTCAGTTCTAGTTCAGTTCTAGTTCAGTTCTAGTTCAGTTCTAGTTCAGTTCTAGTTCAGTTCTAGTTCAGTTCTAGTTCAGTTCTAGTTCAGTTCTAGTTCAGTTCTAGTTCAGTTCTAGTTCAGTTCTAGTTCAGTTCTAGTTCAGTTCTAGTTCAGTTCTAGTTCAGTTCTAGTTCAGTTCTAGTTCAGTTCTAGTTCTAGTTCAGTTCTAGTTCAGTTCTAGTTCAGTTCTAGTTCAGTTCTAGTTCAGTTCTAGTTCTAGTTCAGTTCTAGTTCAGTTCTAGTTCAGTTCTAGTTCAGTTTAGTTCAGTTTTAGTTCAGTTTTAGTTCAGTTCTAGTTCAGTTTTAGTTCAGTTCTAGTTCAGTTCTAATTCAGTTCTAGTTCAGTTCTAGTTCAGTTCAAGTTCAGTTCTAGTTCAGTTCTAGTTCAGTTCTAGTTCAGTTCTAGTTCAGTTCTAGTTCAGTTCTAGTTCAGTTCTAGTTCAGTTCTAGTTCAGTTCTAGTTCAGTTCTAGTTCAGTTCTAGTTCTAGTTCAGTTCTAGTTCAGTTCTAGTTCAGTTCTAGTTCAGTTCTAGTTCAGTTCTAGTTCAGTTCTAGTTCAGTTCTAGTTCAGTTCTAGTTCAGTTCTAGTTCAGTTCTAGTTCAGTTCTAGTTCAGTTACTAGTTCAGTTTAGTTCAGTTTAGTTCAGTTTTAGTTCAGTTCTAGTTCAGTTCTAGTTCAGTTCTAGTTCAGTTCTAGTTCAGTTCTAGTTCAGTTCTAGTTCAGTACTAGTTCAGTTTTAGTTCAGTTTTAGTTCAGTTTTAGTTCAGTTCTAGTTCAGTTTTAGTTCAGTTCTAGTTCAGTTCTAATTCAGTTCTAGTTCAGTTCTAGTTCAGTTCTAGTTCAGTTCTAGTTCAGTTCTAGTTCAGTTCTAGTTCAGTTCTAGTTCAGTTCTAGTTCAGTTCTAGTTCAGTTCTAGTTCAGTTCTAGTTCAGTTTCTAGTTCAGTTCTAGTTCAGTTCTAGTTCAGTTCTAGTTCAGTTCTAGTTCAGTTCTAGTTCAGTTCTAGTTCTAGTTCAGTTCTAGTTCAGTTCTAGTTCAGTTCTAGTTCAGTTCTAGTTCAGTTCTAGTTCAGTTCTAGTTCAGTTCTAGTTCAATTCTAGTTCAGTACTAGTTCAGTTCTAGTTCAGTTCTAGTTCAGTTCAGTTCTAGTTCAGTTCTAGTTCAGTACTAGTTCAGTTCTAGTTCAGTTCTAGTTCTGTTCTAGATCAGTTCTAGTTCAGTTCTAGTTCAGTTCTAGTTCAGTTCTAGTTCAGTTCTAGTTCTAGTTCAGTTCTAATTCAGTTCTAGTTCAGTTCTAGTTCAGTTCCAGTTCAGTTCTCGTTCAGTTCTAGTTCAGTTCTAGTTCAGTTCTAGTTCAGTTCTAGTTCTAGTTCTAGTTCAGTTCTAGTTCAGTTCTAGTTCAGTTCTAGTTCAGTTCTAGTTCAGTTCTAGTTCAGTTCTAGTTCAGTTCTAGTTCAGTTCTAGTTCAGTTCTAGTTCAGTTCTAGTTCAGTTCTAGTTCAGTTCTAGTTCAGTTCTAGTTCAGTTCTAGTTCAGTTCTAGTTCAGTTCTAGTTCAGTTCTAGTTCAGTTCTAGTTCAGTTCTAGTTCAGTTCTAGTTCAGTTCTAGTTCAGTTCTAGTTCAGTTCTAGTCAGTTCTAGTTCAGTTCTAGTTCAGTTCTAGTTCAGTTTCTAGTTCAGTTCTAGTTCAGTTCTAGTTCAGTTCTAGTTCAGTTCTAGTTCAGTTCTAGTTAGTTCTAGTTCAGTTCTAGTTCAGTTCTAGTTCAGTTCTAGTAGTTCAGTTCTAGTTCAGGTTCTAGTTCAGTTCTAGTTTAAGTTCTAGTAGTTCAGGTTGCTAATTCAGTGCTAGTTCAGTTCTAGTTCAGTCCTAGTTCAGTCCTAGTTCAAGGTTCTAGTTCAATTCTAGCTCAGTTCTAGGTTAGTTCTAGGTCCGTTCTAGTTAAGTTCTATCTCCACTTTTAAGAACCCTTTAAATTATAACACCACACAATGCAAAACAGATTCATTTTAAAATCTTGTCAATGTTAATTTTTCTTTACAGCAAAAGTTTGTTGTTAAACTTTTTAATAGTCTATAGAATTAAAAATTTAATTTTACACAAAAACAATATAGAGAAACACTCTACTCACATGCCAACATAGTTTTTTTTAATGAAATTTTACTGTAAATTTTTATAATTCTCCAAATGAGTTTGGGCATGCAATTCTATTTTTAGTTTGTTGGTTGCTTGTTTTAAAAGGATCATAAAATTATATTATTACGTTGTAATGTGCCTCTCTCTTTTCTTTTGCATAGTCTCTGGGTATTAGGGTTTTCTGAAGTGCATTTGCTTGATTAGTAGATTATTGCTAGTTGCGTTTTATTTTATTTTTTTTTTTTGTGGTGGATACTTGGAGGTTTATGTTGTTTTTATTTTTTCCATATACTATTCTCCTCGGGTCCAGGCCATGTGTTAAAATTTGTTTATATGTATGAGCATGTTTTTTATTTATTGGGTTTTCTAGGGAATTTCGAGTTTTTTGCAACAGCATAAAAAGGAATTGTTGCGAGTAAACATGAAACCAAAATCGGCAAGGAGTAAAAAAAATAAACATGAAACCGGAGTAGTGAGTTGTAGGAAAAATTATAAAGGAAAGAAAAATTGCATGAATTTGGGTTGTGCGTGTTTAAAATGAACGAAATAAATTAGAGCTAAAATACAAAATTGTAATAAAAAGAATAATTTCTACTTTACAACAAGTGATGTTAATTAAAAAATTATAATGCTCTTAAATAATGGTTGTAAAATGAAACATGCATTGTTTTCTACGAATTAAATTTAAAAATTTAAAAGGGTTTTAAACTCTAAAAAAGTTAATGTTAGATTTTATTTGTCTTAGAAAATTTGCAGCCATTTATAGCGGTTCAAAATTAATTTAAAATAAAAACTAAAGGTTGTTCTATAAATAGATTTTACAGTAATTATATCTGTTAAATTAGAAAATAATATAAAGCATATTTTCTAATTTAACTAATTTTTAATTTTATCTATTTAAAAACTCATTAACATGTCTGTTTTCATAATCGAGGCGCATTTACGCATAAAAAAACTGATTCTAATTTGAAAACCTTAATTGCCTGTTGCTTCTAGTTGTACAAAGTCATGAGTAGAAACGTGTTTCAATAAGAGGAGGTTCGGTAAATATGGCGCAATTGAAATTTGTTTTTATTGCAATTTTATTTCTAAACTTGTGTGTTCAAGTTCTGATGGTGAGTAAGAGAAAATGCGTCATTAAGAAATAGCATTACACTCTATGCTCATTTTCATTGCAGTATTGTTACCATATGAAAATGTTGTCATTCACTACCACCGAAACACCGGACTATCGTTTCACCATGGTACTGCACCGGAATAATACATTTTCCTCTATAACCAGGGTCTTCAAAGAGGTACCTTCACCCATGTGGAATTTGATATTGGTGCAACACAACAAGGATGTACGCAAAGGCTCTAAAGTTGATCCGAAAAAAATTCTCTATAATTCCACTTACAAAGTCTGTGAGTTTTGGCGTTCGGTCAAACGTATACGAGTTTTTAGCAATGTCGCCGAAATGCTCTTCAACAAGGAAGGTATGGGCAATTTAAGCTTAAAGTGTCCCCTAGATGTGGGCACTTATGTAATGACAAATATTCATGTACCACCGGATACGGGCATTTTGAAAATCATGTACTGGCCCAATACCATCTACACACTATTTGGCAATATTTATTCTTTGGAAAAGAATAAGAAAATGGTTTTGAAATGTACTTATGAAATAAATGCAACTGTCATAAAGTCATGTTAAAATTAGCTTACAAATATACAGTTGCCTCTAAAACTGAACTCAAAATTTAATCTAAATCATTTATTTACTAACGTTCTTTGACAACTGTATCCACAATATTGGTGCATGAAAAATGAACAAGTCGTTTAATATAATTTATTTAATCCTTTTGCCTTAATCCACAAATAGTAACATAACAGAGCGACCTCAACAACCTGTCAACTGTCAATCTTATACAGCCATACCCTAGTGCTTTCTCTTTTATTTTTAATTTTTCTACGAAATATAAAATACAACTAAACAACAATTTAAATGGAAAGTAAGCCAATAGAGCCAAAGGACTGTTCCACGTAATTTAACTAAGAGAAAATTAATTATGAATTTTACACATAACACTATCTATATCATAAACAGTAAATGTTTTAATCAGGATGTTCTTAAGAAAATAAGACTGAAACTGAAATGATACTGAAGTCAAATTGAACTGAAAGTGAACTAAAACTGAACTGAATCTGAACTGAAACTGAACTTAACTGAACTGAAACTGAAACTTAACTGAAACTGAACTGAAACTGAACTAAAACTGAACTGACTGAAACTGAAACGAACTGAAACTGAACTGAAACTGAACTGAAACTGAACTGAATAACTGAAACCTGAACTGAAACTGACTGAACTGAAACTGAACTGAAACTGAACTGAAACTGAAACTGAACTGAAACTGACTGAAACTGAACTGAAACCTGAACTGAACTGGAACTGAAACTGAACTGAAACGACTGAACTGAACTGAAACCTGAACTGAACTGAACTGAAACTGAACTGAAACTGAACTGAAACTGAACTGAAACTGAACTGAAACTGAACTGAAACTGAAACCTGAAACTGAACTGAAACTGAACTGAAACTGAACTGAAACTGAACTGAAACTGAACTGAAACTGAACTGAAACTGAACTGAAACTGAACTGAAACTGAACTGAAACTGAACTGAAACTGAACTGAAACTGAACTGAAACTGAACTGAAACTGAACTGAACTGAACTGAAACTGAACTGAAACTGAACTGAAACTGAACTGAAACTGAACTGAAACTGAACTGAAACTGAAGTGAAACTGAACTGAAACTGAACTGAACTGAACTGAAACTGAACTGAAACTGAACTGAAATTGAAACCTGAAACTGAACTGAAACTGAACTGAAACTGAACTGAAACTGAACTGAAACTGAACTGAAACTGAACTGAAACTGAACTGAAACTGAACTGAAACTGAACTGAAACTGAACTGAACTGAACTGAAACTGAAACTGAACTGAACTGAAACTGAAACTGAAACTGAACTGCACTGCACTGAACTGAACTGAAACTGAACTGAAATGAAACTGAACTGAACTGAAACTGAAGCGAAACTCAACTGTAAGAGAAAGTCACACAAATAACTTAATTGCTGAAACTGAACTGAAACTGAACTGAAACTGAACTGAAACTGAACTGAAACTGAACTGAAACTGAACTGAAACTGAACTGAAACTGAACTGAACTGAACTGAAACTGAACTGAAAACTGAACTGAAACTGAACTGAAAACTGACTGAAACTGAACTGAAACTGAACTGAAACTGAACTGAAACTGACTGAAACTGAACTGAAACTGAAACTGAACTGAAACTGAACTGAAACTGAACTGAAACTGAACTGAAACTGAACTGAAACTGAACTGAAACTGAACTGAAACTGAAACTGAAACTGAACTGAAACTGAACTGAGAACTGAAACTGAACGAACTGAACTGAAACTGAACTGAAACTGAACTGAAACTGAACTGAACTGAAACTGAACTGAAACTGAAACTGAAACTGAACTGAAACTGAACTGAAACTGAACTGAACTGAAACTGAACTGAACTGAACTGAAACTGAACTGAAACTGAACTGAAACTGAACTGAAACTGAACTGAAACTGAACTGAAACTGAACTGAAACTGAACTGAAACTGAACTGAAACTGAACTGAAACTGAACTGAAACTGAACTGAAACTGAACTGAAACTGAACTGAAACTGAACTGAAACTGAACTGAAACTGAACTGAAACTGAACTGAAACTGAACTGAAACTGAACTGAAACTGAACTGAAACTGAACTGAAACTGAACTGAAACTGAACTGAAACTGAACTGAAACTGAACTGAAACTGAACTGAAACTGAACTGAAACTGAACTGAAACTGAACTGAAACTGAACTGAAACTGAACTGAAACTGAACTGAAACTGAACTGAAACTGAACTGAAACTGAACTGAAACTGAACTGAAACTGAACTGAAACTGAACTGAAACTGAACTGAAACTGAACTGAAACTGAACTGAAACTGAACTGAAACTGAACTGAAACTGAACTGAAACTGAACTGAAACTGAACTGAAACTGAACTGAAACTGAACTGAAACTGAACTGAAACTGAACTGAAACTGAACTGAAACTGAACTGAAACTGAACTGAAACTGAACTGAAACTGAACTGAAACTGAACTGAAACTGAACTGAAACTGAACTGAAACTGAACTGACTGAAACTGAAACTGAACTGAAACTGAACTGAAACTGAACTGAAACTGAAACTGAACTGAAACTGAACTGAACTGAACTGAAACTGAAACTGAACTGAACTGAACTGAAACTGAACTGAAACTGAACTGAAACTGAAACTGAACTGAAAACTGAACTGAAACTGAACTGAAACTGAACTGAAACTGAACTGAAACTGAACTGAACTGAACTGAAACTGAACTGAAACTGAACTGAAACTGAACTGAAACTGAACTGAAACTGAACTGAAACTGAACTGAAACTGAACTGAAACTGAACTGAAACTGAACTGAAACTGAACTGAAACTGAGTGAAACTGAACTGAACTGAAACTGAACTGAACTGAAACTGAACTGAACTGAAATTGAACTGAAACTGAACTGAAACTGAACTGAAACTGAACTGAAACTGAACTGAAACTGAACTGAAACTGAACTGAAACTGAACTGAAACTGAACTGAAACTGAACTGAAACTGAACTGAACTGAAACTGAAACTGAACTGAAACTGAACTGAAACTGAACTGAAACTGAACTGAAACTGAACTGAAACTGAACTGAAACTGAACTGAAACTGAAACTGAACTGAAACTGAACTGAAACTGAACTGAAACTGAACTGAAACTGAACTGAAACTGAACTGAAACTGAACTGAAACTGAACTGAAACTGAACTGAAACTGAACTGAAACTGAACTGAACTGAAACTGAAACTGAACTGAAACTGAACTGAAACTGAACTGAAACTGAACTGAAACTGAAACTGAACTGAAACTGAACTGAAACTGAACTGAAACTGAACTGAAACTGAACTGAAACTGAACTGAAAACTGAACTGAAACTGAACTGAAACTGAACTGAAACTGAACTGAAACTGAACTGAAACTGAACTGAACTGAACTGAAACTGAAGTGAAACTGAACTGAACTGAAACTGAACTGAACTGAAACTGAACTGAAACTGAACTGAAATTGAACTGAAACTGAACTGAAACTGAACTGAAACTGAACTGAAACTGAACTGAAACTGAACTGAACTGAACTGAAACTGAACTGAAACTGAACTGAAACTGAACTGAAACTGAACTGAAACTGAACTGAAACTGAACTGAAACTGAAACTGAACTGCACTGCAACTGAACTGAACTGAAACTGAACTGAAATGAAACTGAACTGAACTGAAACTGAAGCGAAACTCAACTGTAAGAGAAAGTCACACAAATAACTTAATTGCTGAAACTGAACTGAAACTGAACTGAAACTGAACTGAAACTGAACTGAAACTGAACTGAAACTGAACTGAAACTGAACTGAAACTGAACTGAAACTGAACTGAAACTGAACTGAAACTGAACTGAAACTGAACTGAAACTGAACTGAAACTGAACTGAAACTGAACTGAAACTGAACTGAAACTGAACTGAAACTGAACTGAAACTGAACTGAAACTGAACTGAAACTGAACTGAAACTGAACTGAAACTGAACTGAAACTGAACTGAAACTGAACTGAAACTGAACTGAAACTGAACTGAAACTGAACTGAAACTGAACTGAAACTGAACTGAAACTGAACTGAAACTGAACTGAAACTGAACTGAACTGAACTGAACTGAAACTGAAACTGAACTGAAACTGAACTGAAACTGAACTGAAACTGAACTGAAACTGAACTGAAACTGAACTGAAACTGAACTGAAACTGAACTGAACTGAAACTGAACTGAAACTGAACTGAAACTGAACTGAAACTGAACTGAACTGAACTGAACTGAAACTGAACTGAAACTGAACTGAACTGAACTGAAACTGAACTGAAACTGAACTGAAACTGAACTGAACTGAACTGAAACTGAACTGAAACTGAACTGAAACTGAACTGAAACTGAACTGAAACTGAACTGAAACTGAACTGAAACTGAACTGAAACTGAACTGAAACTGAACTGAACTGAACTGAAACTGAAACTGAACTGAACTGAAACTGAACTGAAACTGAACTGAAACTGAAACTGAACTGAAACTGAACTGAACTGAAACTGAACTGAAACTGAACTGAAACTGAACTGAAACTGAACTGAAACTGAACTGAAACTGAACTGAAACTGAACTGAAACTGAACTGAAACTGAAACTGAACTGAAACTGAACTGAACTGAACTGAAACTGAATTGAAATTGAACTGCAACTGAAGCGAAACTCAACTGTAACAGAAAGTCACACAAATAACTTTATTGCTAATCCAAATAATTATACCGGTTGATGTGTGGCAGCTTTTTGTTTAAAAACAGAATTTCATTGTAAATTTATACAAGATTTTGCTAAACAGATATGAATACAGTTACCTTTACATCAGTTCATAGTTATTTAAAGCTAATAAATAAAATCTTATTTACCAGAAATCATTACTCATCCAATATTCGTATTAGCTTTAAAAATGATACGCCACAACAATTTCATTAAGGAAAATCATCTACCAGCACAAGGATATCCTTTGCACAAGTAAAACTTTCGCAAACAACCACAACCATAAGAAATCAAAAAGGTAGAAGAACCGTTGAAAAGCAACAATTATGATTGAAAAATGAATGAAAAATAAAATGTTCGACAAAAAAAAAAAATAACGGCTCAGAGGTACTTTGCCGGAAAACAATTACTCTCCTACGTTAATAACTAGCAAGCACTAGAGATTTTCCATTTAAAATGGTTGAGGTATATTTTTAGGCTGCACAACCACCATTAGGGCTTGTATGTAAATGTGTTCATAGAAGAATTTGCGAAAACTTTGAATTTTTGTGTGTGTGTTTTTTTTTTGTTTCTTACTTGTTGACCCAATTATTTAAGCCATGCCAAGCTAGGTTAGTTATTTTGCTGGCTGCAGTTGTTCATAGTTTTTAGCCACTTAACAGGCCGAATGCCACTCATCCTCATACATAACTACTTGGCCATGAAGGTGAACATTTGCAAGTGAATAAATTTGATGTTGGTGGGATTTTTCCACTATTTATAGGTGGATTTTTGTAGGTGTATGTATTGTTTTAGCGAAAATTTGCATAGAGTTTTATTTAATCATCAATATCCTTTTAGTACACGATAGAATGATTAGAGAGTTGTAGTTAAATTTGCATTTTTTGTAGATATATATTTGTTAAATTTAAGTAAAAAGTAGTATTTTATATAGTTAGTTTGAAAGGAGGATGTATATACATCAAATCCGAAAAAATACACCTAGGCCTCTATCGGGCCTGTTGTGCGATCCTTAACCAATGCCTCAGGTGGGAATCGAACCCACCACCTCCGGTCTACCAGACTAGAACACTAACCACTAACCTACCGGAGGCCATATTTATATAGTTTATCAAAAAACTGTGAACCTTAGCTCATTAGAAGTAAGTCATCCTAATAGAGTTAAAAATCTAAGAAGCCGCTTTTAACCACTTATTGATTCGCATTTTAAGTTATTATTTTAATGCGGTGTGATTTTGGAGTCAAGTATTTACCACGCTCGCTTACATATAACTACTTAAAGAAGTACTTAGAAAATTACGTAAAATTATTTGTAAAATTACTACCTGTAATTTTATAACAAGGTTTACATGGACGGACAGACGGACCGACAGATGGACAGAGGGACATAAAAAATCGACTTAGGATATCAGACGGATCCAACCTCTAGTTTGATAACAAAGTTTACATGGTCCAGCAGATGTACGGATGGACAAATGGACTTAGAAAGTGACGTTTCGTCAATTGACCATCAAATTATCTGTAAAATTGTGAACTGTAATTTTATAACAAGGTTTACATGGACGGACAGACAGACGGACATAGCAAAATCGACTTGGGAAATCAGACGGATCCAACCTTTAGTTTGATAACCATGTAGAATAGATGTACAGACGGACAGATCGACTTAATTAATTGAAGCTGCGCCAATTGATCATCAAATTATTTGCGACCTGTCATTTTATAACAAGGTCAGAGAGACATACGGACGGACGGACAAGGCATGACAAAATCAACTAAGGAAATCCATCGGATCAAAATTGGTTGTATTTAAAAGGTTACAAACATCAGCACAAACCACATAATACCCTCCCTATATTTATATAGTCGTGTATAAAAATGTCAGAGACGCTGAAATAGCCTTCAAAAGAGATTGAACTTAACTTTAATGCGACAAAAACAACATAATTTATTTAATTGTTTTCCTTTTTAATTGCATTTTTTCAGATTAGTCTGAAAATACGAAAAAAACACCAAATTCTTTAGAAAAAAGTATTAAAAACATTAAAAATGAATTATAGCATACTTTTAGGCTACTTAAGTTCTACACATAAAGAAAAACTGTTAATTACCGGTTACTAACATGTTTTAGCAGTTAATTAATAAGAAAAGAAGCCTTCTGAAAGGCCTTATTATAAAGAAAAGCACTTGAATTAAATACATATTGAGGGAGTTTGTTTCCATTGAAGCAATACTTAAGCAGATGTTCTGAAAAAGACCGTAAACATATAATTTAAAGGCCTTAGCAAAATCTTGTATGTTTTAAAACTAAAGTTCAGAACCCGTATAAACATTTAAAAGAGAAGTCAGTTATATTTTCTTAAATCCTCCTGAATACCTCGGTCGATTAATGTAAAAGAAAATCTAAATAGATAAGGCCCCTTAAGAGAAGTCTTTATGTCCCTTCTTACTGGCATTAGTGTCTCCCTGTGTATGTATTTTTAATAGCATGAGTGTCCTTTTTCTCATTAACAAACCAAAATCCTGTTTGTTGTTTTGTCTTGTTATTAAGAGGAACAAAAGAGGATTATTTGACAACAATTCTATGGTGTCTGTAACTTAAATGGGCAGAGGAGTGAGTATCTTGACGTGTATTTAACAATTTTAAGATTTCTTGCTATTTAATCTTTAAATGTCATGTATTTGATAGTTAACAGGGATGGCGAAATGACGTTTTTGTTATATTGAAAATTTTCCATAAAAACTTTAAATTACAAATTGTCTATAGAAAATAATGTTAAGACAAAAAATTTCTATAGAAAAATCTGTTATACAAAAAACTATTTAGATATAAAGTTTTCTTATAAAAAATTTCCTGAAGAAAATTCTATTATACACAGAATATTCTAGAGTCAAACTATAATACTAAAACTTTTCTGTGCAGAAAATTTATATACGCAAAAATTATTTATAGAGAAACTGTTATAAACTAAATATTTCGTACGAAGAAGTGTTGTGCACAATTTTTTTATAGAGAAAACTGTTATATACAAAAATTTTCCATAAAGAAGCTATTCTACTCAAAACTTTCTGTATAGAAAACTATTATACACAAATTTCTTTACAGAGAAAACTGTTATACGCATGATTTTTCATAGATAAAACTGTTATACAACTAATTTTCAGTAGAGAAACTGTTGTAGACAAAATTTTCTATAGAATATACTGTATATTCTGTAGAATATACTGTTATACACATAATTTTCTATTGAAAATACTGTTATACACAAAAATTTCTATAGAAAATATTGTTATACACAAAATTTTCTATAGAGAACACTGTAATGGACACAATTTTCTATAGAAAATACTGTTATACCAAAAATTTTCTATAGAAAATACTGTTATACACAAAATTTTCTATATAAAATACTCTTATACACAAAATGTTCTTTAGAAAATACTGTTATAATCAAACATTTCTTTAGAGAAAGTATTACGCTCATGATATTCCATAAAAAACTGTTATACAAATAATATTATAAACATAAATTTCGTTATGTAGGGAAAACTGTTATACACAAAATTTTTTATACAGAAAACTCTTTTGCACAAAGTGTTCCATAGAAAAGACAATTATACACAAGGTTACCCATAGACAAAATTGCAAAATGTTCTATAGAAAAAACAATTCTGCATAGAATTTTCAATAGAGAAAACTATTATACACATAGTTTTCTAAAGAAAAAAACTATTATAAAAATTATATTTCATAAAGAAAACTGTTATACACAAAAATTCGAATAGAGAAAACTGCTATACTCATAACGTTCTATCGAAAAACTTGTATACTTAAAATATTCTGTAGAGAAAACTGTTATTCAAAAAATTTTATGTAGAAACAACTGTTATACACATAATTTTCTATAAAAAGAAATGTTATTCACAAAATTTTCTATAGTAGAATTGTTATACTCAAAATCTTCTGTAAAAAAAACAATTTTCTATAGGAAAACTGTTATACACAAAAGATTTCGAATAGAAAAACCTTCTATATTCAAAAAAATTTATAGGAAAACTCTTTTACACAAAATGTTCCGTAGAGAAAACTGTTGTTGAAGTGTAAAATGAATTATTATTATTATCGTTTAAATGCTCTTATTATTATATTAAGTGATGTACAAAAAAGAGAGAACAAAAGGTTCGATACTCGCGACCTTTGTGTTCTCTGTTGTAACTTATCATAAGAAAGAATTTTGTAATAAAAAGTAGTGAACAACTTGAACTCAAAAGAAAAGGTTCGTACAAAAAAATAAAAGGTTTATAATTTCTTATTAACCCCCGCTAACCCCCGTTCTCTCCTCAACTGCTTATGTACATACTACCCGAATTTCTCAATCTCCCCGGAACATTTTGGTCCAGTCGAACCGGATAAGCAGCTGGATATTTAAAATATATAAGTTCAGGATTATTATTATAAACAACCCCCGTGGAAAGTTCACATAAAAAACCCCAATTGAAGAATTGCAGCATTAACTCATCATAATCTAACAACAACAAAGTAAGTGTTAAATAAATGCTACATATAAATCTATTTGTAACAAGTGCAAAATAATTTTTACCTAAGTGCAACAACAAAAGTGACTTACACAGTTATTATTTGTAAAAAAAGAAAATATCCCTCGGTAAAGTGAAACGAGTTCCACACCAACCAAATTTACATTTTTATACTGAAAAAATTAAAACACAAATCTGTAAATAACATAACAATTGTATCTAAACAAATTCTTAATGTTAAAGTTCTACAGTGTTTGTAATAACAACAGAGATCGCTCGCAACCCAATGTCGTAAACGTTAACAGACAATAATAAAGAAAGCTTTAATTTACTTCAAACAGTGAACAACTTCAAGTTATCTACTCAAATACACTTGAGAGAGGAGTTCGAAACATCAAATCAGCTCGTATCGAACACAACATGTTGTGACCAAATGTAAACAGAGAGCAGTTTGAAAGCAGTGTATGTAGTAATAACATATTTATGTATGTTTGATCCAACCGCTAGCAGTAAAATCATATAAAAATCTACATAAAGAAAAAGAAGCAGCTTTTGTTTACATTTTTTTTTGTATATTTTAAAGTGAATCGCAGTATCTTCATCAATAAAGTTGTATTTATCAGTGCACTTCTTTACCAGTGAACATTTTATTTACAATTCTTATATTGCTACGCAAACATTTTGAAGAAATTGAAAATAAATTAAATCAAATTAAATTATTAAAGAAGCTTATTTAAACGAAAAATCAATTCGAAAATATTGTGGATGAACTCATCTTCGATAGATATAGAATAAAAACAAATTTTTAAAGTGGAATCAAATAAGAAATAATTCAGAATCATAGCTTTAACCAAATAATAACTGTAAACAAGTCTGATATTCTTATATAAACCGACTCGTATATTTTGCACTCTGTTATTTTTTTTTTGCTTTTTTTTGAAAATTTATACAATTTTCATACATAATTACTAAACACCCTTGTTACTGAGGGATCGATTGTGGAATATTAGTACGTTTATTTAACCCGGTATAGTTCTGTGTCTTACAAATTTTGAATCTAAGGTCTGAGATTTTGTTACGCTAGTTTTTTTACTCTGACGCGTCTGTGCATTTTTTTTCATCATGTCGATCCTAGATTCTTTTATCCGTGCTTCTGATCGCGTCGTTGAGTTTCAGGCGTATTTTGAATCGTTACCTGCGGATATCCATTCCGTTCATACCCTAGAGATACAAAAGGATGAGATAGTCCGTCTCTGGTCCGATTTTCGCACTTGTTATGATGAAATATTAGTTAAGTTTAAGGATTTGGAAGAAGACGTGCAGGTCGAAACCTTGAAAGGTCGTTTTTTTTCGACATTTGAGGCGCATGTTAAGGTTTTGTCAAAATCTAACCAACTGTTAGATAGCCTTTGTCAGAAAGATGACGCCAATCCTAGCCCAAATACTGTTTCGGTTCCTCTGAATGACACCACCCCCCATATTTCATTGCCCCCATGTGACACCGAGGTATTTCATGGTGACTACCAATCGTGGCCAACGTTTCGTGACATGTTCACAGCGTTATACCGAAATAGCACTCGACTATCGTCGGTAGAAAAGATGTGTCATTTAATTAAAAAGACTCAAGGAGAAGCACGTGACTTGCTTAAGACTTGTCCCATAACAAACGATGGGTTCGAAATGGCTTGGCAAAACTTGGTGAATAGGTATGAAAATAAACGCATCCTTATCAATGCTCAGCTAAAGACACTTTTTAATATATCCCCCATTTCTAAGGAGACTAGTAACAATATTCGAAGCATTCAACGCACCATTAATGACTGCGTTACAAATCTCTCTCTTCTACAAATTGACACTGACAACTGGGACATAATATTTATTTACATTTGTTCAACGTGCTTACCCGAAGTTACCCTCAGTTTATGGGAACAATCGCTACCTAACAGCAAAGATTTACCAACGTGGAAGCAAATGGACGCCTTTTTAACTTCAAGGTTCCAGACTCTGGAGTCTGTAGCAGATATTCGTACCACATTTTCCACACCTAATCAGTCAGACAACTTCCGTCCCCTGAATTCAAGAAATACAGGTCAGAAAAAACTTAAAAGTTATCGCACTAGCATTTCTAACAATAAAAACGACAAATGTTCAATATGTTCTGATGTACATCCGCTAAGATTGTGCCCTTCATTTCTCAGAATGTCCATTGAGGAACGTTATTCAGTAGTAGAGAGTCAAGGGCGGTGTACGAATTGCTTAGGAAATTCGCATGATTTTAAGAAATGTCGTAGTCAATATCTATGCCAATTATGTAGAAAGAAACACCATTCTTTACTACATCGAACAGAGAATACATCGAATGCAGTCCAAGTCTCCACCCATGTACCTAACCCCCCGCAGATTGCTGAACCTGTAGCTTCGGCCCCGAATACTCACAACGATACACATGTTGTTAACCCCCGACAAACTTCAACTATAACCACAACCCCCTCTACTTCTGCCGAATCTGCGTTAAGGATGACGCAATCATTCTCGACACAGATACAGTCCACTCTTAGCTCGAAAGTTTTACTCGGTACTGCCCTTGTAGATATTTACTCAAACGACCTTAAATATACTGTTAGGGCCTTAATTGATTCGGCTTCAGAGGCAACATTTATCTCAAAGAAGCTCCAAAATAAGCTCTCACTGACAACCCGGCAGTCACAAACCGAAATCCATGGTTTGAATGATGCCTTAACTGCAACCTCAACTCAACTTTGTCACATACGTATCGGCTCACCCATTGATAGTTCATTTGAAACCTATACAGATGCTTTTGTCGTCAAAAAACTCACGGGACAGCTCCCTTATTACCCAATATCAGCTCTTAAAGAATTTGAAGGTTTAAGAATGGCTGACACGTTTTCACATAGGTGCTCGGATATTGATCTGCTTATCGGAGGTGACGTTTATCCCAAGGTCATAAAGGATGGCTTGCGATGGGATAGCAATAGGGCTTTAGTCGCTCAACAAACAGTGTTTGGATGGATTATTACTGGCAAAATTGCCACTGGAAACTGTACTCCTTCTGTTTCAGCATTTTTTAATGAAATTGCCTTAAATAATCAGATTCAAAAGTTCTGGGAACTGGAGGAAGTCCCAAAGAGGACTAAACTTTCTGACGACGATCGTCACTGTGAAGAGGTGTACAATTCTACAACTTACCGTACACAAAGTGGACGATTCGTGGTTAAACTTCCATTTCGTCGAGAATATCCTCACACCATAAACATTGGCTCCTCTCGCAACATTGCCTTGTCTCAGTTTCTTCGGAATGAATCACGACTGTTAAAAAACCCAACCCAGAAAACTGCATATGATCGTGTTATTTCCGAGTACGCATTACTTAATCAAATGACAAAGGTTACATCATCGAGTACCAACAGTGTCTATTATTTACCCCACCATGCAGTTCTGAAACCCGATAGTACTACGACAAAATTACGCGTAGTATTCAACGCTTCCAGTCCATCATCAAACGGTTATAGTCTAAATGACATACTCTACCCTGGCCCTGTTCTGCAATCAGATCTAACGATTCTTATGCTTCGTTGGAGACTTTTCCGATACGTTTTTAATGCCGATATCGAGAAGATGTATCGGCAGATACTAGTGGATTCTTCTCAAACCCCTTTTCAGCGAATAATTTTCCGTGATTCGCCTCAGAAAGACCCACAGGATTTTGAACTTAACACAGTAACATTTGGTGTGAACTGTGCCCCCTACCTCGCTATCCGCACTCTGCTTGAATTGGCCAGACTATGTGAAGCAACAAATCCTGTTGCCTCAGAAATCCTCCGTAACCATATGTACGTAGATGACGTACTAGCCGGTGCCCATACCATCTCTTCAGCTCTAAAAGCGAGAGACGAACTTACAATGGTCCTTCAGTCAGCCGGTTTCTCACTCCGCAAATGGACGGCAAATAATGACTATTTACTAAAAGACCTGTCCCCCGACCATTTATTAGGTACAGAGTTCCTTAAACTTTCAGACTCTAGTACAACCAAAACTTTAGGTTTACGTTGGAACGCAGGAAGAGATGTTTTCTATTTTCGGCTGAAAAATCCCCCAAATCGAAACTCGACCACTAAAAGATCAGTTTTATCCGAAATCGCTAAACTTTTCGATCCCGCTGGTTGGCTTGCCCCAAAAATAATAGTCGCAAAAATTATAATGCAGCAAATTTGGAAGGATGAAACTGATTGGGATGAAAAACTGAAACCATCAACTCTACATCAGTGGCTGGATTTCTTAGAAGACTACGAGAGTATCGAACAAATAAAGATTCCCCGATTCGTCGATTTTGACCCAACATTCTCAATCGAGTTGCACGGCTTCTGTGATGCGTCAGAGAAAGCGTATGCTGCAACTCTATACATACGCGCAGAGAATTCAGGTTGGATTTCCTCTCACCTTCTCGTTGCCAAGACTAAAGTCGCACCCGTTAAATTTGTGTCATTACCTCGCAAGGAACTCTGTGGAGCAGAGTTAATGGCCACAATGATTGAATCCATTCAGTCCCAACTCAACCTCAGGGACTACAAACTATTTCTATGGACCGATTCAACGATCGTCTTGGCCTGGCTGCAAAAACCCCCGAACAGGTGGAAAACCTTCGTCGAAAATCGAGTTTCGTCCATTATCGAAAAGGTCGGAAACAAGTTCTGGTCTCATGTTGATTCTAAGAATAACCCCGCTGACCTGGCATCCCGTGGACTCACCGTGTCTCAGCTTATGAACAATGATTTATGGTGGCATGGGCCCTCATGGCTTAGACTTCCACAGAATCAGTGGCCAAAGCCGCCATCTTCTTGTTTTACCACCGACGAAGAAGCAAAGCCTATTCAAGTTTATGTAAATCAAGTACAAAGCACTGATATTTTAAAGAACTTTTCAGAGTTTCCCAAGGCTATGCGAATTATTTGTTGGATATTTCGGTTTTATTATAAATGCAACCGCAAATTACGTCACAAACTAGAAACGAATACCGAACTTACCCGAACAGAACTTGAACATGCAAAATCCCGTATGATCATTGCCTGCCAAAAGTTATACTTTGAAAATGAGTACAGCTTACTGTCCCAAGGTCTTCCAATCTGCAGGAAAAGTCGTATTTTGACTCTAAATCCTTTTTTAGATTCTACCGGCACTATGCGTATTAACGGTCGTTTGTCTAACTCCCCCACATTAAGTTATGATGAGAGGTTTCCAATAATATTGCCTTATCATGGATGCTACACCAGGCTGTTTCTAACCTACTTACACAAGTTTTCGATTCATGGTCAAAATGCCCTTTTGTATAGACTGATGCGAATTTACTATTATGTGATCAAACTAAAGGTCTTGATAAAAAATATACTGTCACACTGTCGTACTTGTGTAATACAAAAACACCGAAAGAGTGAGCAAATCATGGCAGCTTTACCCCCCGAGAGAACTACACTTTCTCATCCGTTCACAAACACAGGCGTCGATTTCGCTGGGCCTTTTGATATCAAATCCTACGCAGGGCGTGGTTGCAAGGTTACAAAAGGCTACGTGTTAGTTTTCGTGTGTTTTGCAACAAAGGCAATACATCTCGAAGCTACGAGTGAAATTTCTACTCAAGCGTTTTTGGCTGCGTTTGCACGTTTTTTCTCTCGTCGAGGCTCCCCAAAGGCGATGTATTCTGATAATGGGACAGCATTTGTTGGCGCTTTCCACACATTGGATACTGACAAGTCTCAGTTTTTATCTCTGCTGCGTCGAAAATTATTAGATATCCATAGTTTTACTCCGTTAGAATGGCATTTTATCCCACCAGGTGCGCCTCATATGGGAGGTCTTTGGGAAGCTGGGGTCAAAAGCTTCAAGATGCACCTCAAACGTATTTCACATTGTCAAAGCTTCACGTTCGAGGAATTTTCTACGATGTTGGCCCGAATTGAAGCATGTTTAAATACTAGACCACTTAGCCCAAGCAGCGAAAACCCTGCCGATCTCTGTGCACTTACCCCCGGTCATTTTCTTATAGGAAGACCACTGTTATCACCCCCCGAACCTGATCTATTAGATCATTCGTTGAGTTATGTCAATCGATGGCAAAAGTTAAAAATCTTACACCAACATTTTGCTCAACGGTGGAAAGAAGAGTATCTGAAAGAACTCCACAAACGCTATAAGTGGAAATATCCCCAGCGTGATTACGCTATCGGCGACCTTGTCGTTATAAGGAAAGATAATTTACCCCCTAATCAGTGGCGGCTTGGCCGCATTGAGAACGTTGTCCGAGGAAATGACAACAGAGTTAGAGTCGCCGAAATACGAACCGCCAATGGCATCGTAACTAGGCCAATCGTAAAATTAGTTCTCCTCCCAAACCCCGAACATCACTAACAATGTTTTTTTATATATATTTACAGCAATCATCATGCCACGATTTTATCGTAGAAGTCAATCGCCTTTAGAGGATAACAATAACACCCGTATCCGCCGAAGATTCGGTCATGCTCAAAGTTCTCCTGATTGTCGCTTATGTAGAAGGGACCACCCACTACGAAAATGCTTGAGGTTTAAGCGAATGAACGTCTCAGAGAAGGTTCGTGTGGTAAAGCAACATAAGTATTGCGAGAATTGCCTCGCCCATTCGCATTTAGTGAACCGCTGCCGAAACACCGATCGTTGTCGCCAATGTGGCGGCAGACACCACACGCTACTACATCGTCACAAACGTCTGCGTGAAAATAAGCGTTCCTCTCAACCCTCTACCATTCAGTCCTGTTCCAATCCTTCTGCTGTTACACTACTACCGACTGCCGTTGTAAAAATACAACTGGGAGAAGAATGGCGGAGTGTTCGAGGTCTCCTAAATCCTTGCGCCGAGACGAGCTCTCTAGCAGAGTTTATTGTAGATCGCTACAAAATTCCGGTGGAAACTATTGGTTCAGATCGATGGTGCAAAATTAAGATTAGGCCACGTTTTGACGATGCCCCTATATTTGGCCTCACTGTCAAGGTCGTTGGCGACCTACCTACAAGGCAACCAAAAGATAAAATTGATGACAGAGTCGCTTTGCTATATACCAACCTTCGATTAGCAGATCCCAATTTTTACAAAAATATTGACATTAACGTTGTCCTTGGTGCAGATGTTTACGCGCGCCTAATCAAACCTAATATCCAGCCAGAATCCGTGGGATCTCCGCTGGCTCAAGACACCGTCCTGGGATGGATTATCATTGGCAAGTTCGGCATCTAACTCACTTTCTATTGCTGTATATATATTACTGTTATTATTTTTTTTACACTTAATATATATATTTTTTATACTTATTCCTAATATGAATTAATCGAATGAATTCTAACATATTAACCTTATATTATTTTGTATTTATACTATTTTCGTAGTTCTAAATTATCTCTGGTCTCTCCTTGTTGCATTATAGCAAGGGGGCCGGGATGTTGAAGTGTAAAATGAATTATTATTATTATCGTTTAAATGCTCTTATTATTATATTAAGTGATGTACAAAAAAGAGAGAACAAAAGGTTCGATACTCGCGACCTTTGTGTTCTCTGTTGTAACTTATCATAAGAAAGAATTTTGTAATAAAAAGTAGTGAACAACTTGAACTCAAAAGAAAAGGTTCGTACAAAAAAATAAAAGGTTTATAATTTCTTATTAACCCCCGCTAACCCCCGTTCTCTCCTCAACTGCTTATGTACATACTACCCGAATTTCTCAATCTCCCCGGAACAACTGTTATATACAAAATTTCTATAGAAAATACCGTTATAAACATAATTTTCTATAGAAAAATGTTATTTACAAAATTTTCTATATTAAAACTGTTATACCCAAAATGTTCTGTAGAGAAAATAAAAATTTTTCTATAGAGAAAACTATTATTCGAAATGTGTTCTATAGAAAAGTCTTCTATATACATAATTTTATATAGAAAAACTGTTATACATATCATTTTTAGTTGAGAATACTGTTAAATACAAAACTTTCTATAGAGAAAACTATTATAGAAAATAGTTTGTATGCAAAAAACTGTTATACATAAAATTTTCTTTAAAGAAAATGTCATTTAACAAAATTTTTATGAAAGTAAAAGTATTGTACATTAAATTAACTGTTATACATATAATTTTTAGTTGAGAATACTGTTAAATACAAAACTTTCTATAGAGAAAATAGTTTGTATGCAGATAACTGGTATACATAAAATTTTCTTTGAAGAAAATGTTATTTAACAAAATTTTTCAAAGAGACAAAGGTTGTACATTAAATTTTCTATTTAGAAATCTGTTATACACAAAATTGTCTGCAGAGAAAACTGTTATACAAAGAAAAAAGAAAATACAAATTATATTGATTGACTGAATACTGCTATTGTATATTTAATAGTTCCAAGAAAAATTCCATTGTAACATCTTTTCCATTCCTGGTATTTTCACATTTCAAACCAAATGTTTCTGTGTGTGTGTGTGAGTAAATGTGTTTGTGTCAAAATTAAAGGATCATTAACCATTAAAGCATCATATAACACATTCAAACACAAACATTATCACTTGTTTACATTACGTTTAAACATACAGGAAAAAAAAAGAAAATCATGAGTAGATGATGTTTTCCCCCTTTTATATTTGATGTTTGATGGTCATTGTCAGTCTAACAAAAAAAAAAAAAAACAGAAAATTGCGCATTTTCTTCTTATGTTTTTTTTTTTTCTCATTTCAATGGAAAATTACCCCTACTTTTTATTGTTTAAGCACTTTTTTGTGTTACCAAAAGTTTTAGGGTTTAGGAAAAAGTGTGAGTTGATTTTAGGTATGCAATGTAATTGGAAAACATGTGCCATTAACTGTTTTCAAATGTTTCCCGGAAAGCAAATTTAACAACAACTGACAGGTTTTATTTTAATATTAAATACTTGCTTAAATATTAAATAGTAATTGTTGTAAGGAGATGGAAAAATACAGGAATTGTATGAATAATATTTGAATGATTGATTGATTAGAGACAATAAGAAATTCCAAAAAACACAAAATATTAATTTTAGAAGGAAGAAAATGTTCGAATAGATTTAAGTGCTTTAAAAAAATTTAATTTTAAAATTTAAATTACAATTTTTTGTATTTTTTTCAACTATATTCAAATATTCGCGAGAGAGTTCCGAACTCTGGTAATAAATTCTGAATATTCGCGAACGTTCTGAACTGTGCAGATAAAGAAGTTGAAGAGACTTTAAATATCAACAATTTGTGTTAAATTTCAAATATTCGTGAGAAAGTTCAGAACTTTTGTAATAAATCCTGAATATTCGCGATAATTCTTAACTATTTATGCAAGCAATTCGAAGAAACTTTATTAAGATCGAAAATTTCCTATTTAGAACTTTGAGGACATTTTCAAATTGTATAATTATCTAATTAAAGGAACAAATTTTACTTCAAAAAGCCGTTTAAAAAGAATTATGTATTTTTGTTTAAAAATAAGTTTCAATACCATAATTACTTTATCGCAAATCTTTATTATATTTGAATATTTTGTTATAATAAACTTTTTCTTTAGAAACACACCGGTAATAAAGTTAAATACTTTTTTCTTTCACTTTTAGCTCAAAAAGGTAAAAATCAAAAGAATTTCGTTTTGTTAAATAAATAGCACATCATCAATATACGCATCATTATTGTCTATATTATTTGTACAATTTTTTACCTTTTTTTCTAAAACTCAACTTGGCATCTCAATTTTATTCAAATCAATGAGGTTGACATAATGATGAACTTTGTAATAAAATATTTCTTAGAAAAGAGACTATTGATGGTAACTTATCAATTTCTCATCTTAACATTTATGTTTTTTTTTTTTGGAAGAATTTTAGGCAAAAATAAGAAATTTTCTACAAAAACAAAAAATAAGTATAAGAAAAACAAGATAAATTCTTAAAACATCAAAAACTCATTTGCATATTTGAATTTATACATTTATAAATTCAAATTTTCTAAGTATGTACAAGAGTAAAACAAGAATGAAAAATTGCAAATGAAAAATAAAAAATATTACAACAATTTTCAAGGCAATTTAAAGAAATTTTACAAATCATCAACATCTTTATCATCATTATCGGTAACATTATCAGTGCGTTCTACTCAATACAAAAGTGTAATGAATAAATGTGTGTCATTATTGAAGATTTTGTCAATTATTAAAACATTAATTTATTTTTCAACTTTTTTTATTATTATCATTTTCCTTTTTTGTAAAGAAACAGATTTTCTTTAACAGGTGTAATTTCTGATGTTTCATTATTGATGTATATAAAATTACAAATGTTTTTTCTCGAAAAGAAAGTTTAAAATTTTGTTAATTATTGAGACATTTCAAAAAGGGGGATATAGCTCAGTGGTAGAGCATTCGACTGCAGATCGAGAGGTCCCCGGTTCAAACCCGGGTGTCCCCTGATAAGGATTTTTTTTAAATATTTTAATGGTAAAAACAGTATCAATAGAAAATGTACTAGATTTATCTATAACAGTATTTTGTATACAAAAGCTTGTGTATAACAGTTTTCTATAAAGAAAATTTTGAATATAACAGTTTTTTCTATAAAAAAATTAGAATATAAGAATATCTTCTATAGAAAACATTGTCTATAACAGTATTTTCTATAGAAAATATTGAGTATAACAGTATTTCTATAGAAAATATGGAGTATAACAGTATTTCCTACGGAAAATATTGTGTATTACAGTATTTTCTATAGAAAATATTGTGTATAACAGTATTTTCTATAGAAAATATTGTGCATAACAGTATTTCCTATAGAAAATATTGTGTATAACAGTATTTTCTATAGAAAATATTGTGTATACCAGTATTTTCTATAGAAAATATTGTGTATAACAGTATTTTCTATAGAAAATATTGTGTATAACAGTATTTTCTATAGAAAATATTGTGTATAACAGTATTTTCTATAGAAAATATTGTGTATAACAGTATTTTCTATAGAAAATATTGTGTATAACAGTATTTTCTATAGAAAATATTGTGTATAACAGTATTTTCTATAGAAAATATTGTGTATAACAGAATTTTCTATAGAAAATATTGTCTATAACAGAATTTTCTATAGAAAATATTGTGTATAACAGTATTTTCTATAGAAAATATTGTGCATAACAGTATTTTCTTTAAAAAATATTATGTATAACAGTATTTTCTATAGAAACAGCAGTATTTTCTATTGAAAATATTGTGTATAACAGTATTTTTAATAGAAAATATTGTATATCACAGTATTTTTAATAGAAATGTTGTATATAACAGTATTTTTTACAGAAAATATTGTTTAGAACAGTATTTTCTATAGAAAATATTGTGTATAACAGTATTTTCTATATATTGCGTATAACAGAATTTTCTATAGAAAATATTGTTTGAAACAGTATTGAAACAGTAAAAAATATTATGTATAACAGTATTTTCTATAGAAACAGCAGCATTTTCTATAGAAAATATTGTATGTCACAGTATTTTCTATAGAAAATATTGTATATAACAGTATTATTAATAGAAATGTTGTATATAACAGTATTTTCTATAGAAAATATTGTTTATAACAGTATTTTCTATAGAAAATATTGTTTATAAAAGTATTTTCTATAGAAAATATTGTGTATAAAAATATTTTCTATAGAAAATATTGTGTATAACGGTATTTTCTATAGAAAATATTGTGTATAACAGTATTTTCTATAGAAAATATTGTGTATTACAGTATTTTCTATACAAAATATTGTTTATAACAGTATTTGCTATAGAAAATATTGTTTATAACAGTATTTTCTGTACAAAATATTGTTTATAACAGTATTTTCCATAGAAAATATTGTGTATAACAGTATTTTCTATAGAAAATATTTTGTATAACAGTATTTTCTATAGAAAATATTGTGTATAACAGTATTTTCTATAGAAAATATTGTGTATAACAGTATTTTCTATAGAAAATATTGTGTATAACAGTATTTTCTATAGAAAATATTGTGTATAACAGTATTTTCTATACAAAATATTGTGTATAACAGTATTTTCTATAGAAAATATTGTGTATAACAGTATTTTCTATACAAAATATTGTTTGTAACAGTATTTGATATAGAAAATATTGTTTATAACAGTATTTTCTGTACAAAATATTGTTTATAACAGTATTTTCTATACAAAATATTGTTTATAACAGTATTTTCCATAGAAAATATTGTGTATAACAGTATTTTCTATAGAAAATATTGTGTATAACAGTATTTTCTATAGAAAATATTGTGTATAACAGTATTTTCTATA